GGTTTAGGGCTCAGGGTTTGGAGTTTGGGGGTTTAGGATTCAGGGTTTGGGGGTTTAGGGTTTAGGAGTTACCAATACTAGTTTGGGGGTTCTTTATTATGACGATAGCGTAATATACCCGAAAACCTTTCTGAATTAAGGCTCCTATATTAGGGGTTTAGGATTTAGGGTGGAGGGCTTAGAGCAAGGCTTGGGGTTTCGGGGTTTACTGTTTAGGGGAAGGAACAAGGTTACTAGTGTTTGGGGTTCAAGGTTTAGGGGAAGTAGCGAGGTTTCAGGGTTTGGGGTTTAGGGTTTAAGGGGCCTGGTAAGATTTTCGGGTTTAAGGGTTTGGGGTTTAAAGGACATAGCAAGGTTTTGAGGTTTAAAGGTTTCGGGTTTAAGGGAAGTCGCCTTAGGGATTAACGGACGTAGCATGGGTTTCAGAAGGGGTGAATGGTTTAGAGGAAGTACTAGGGATGCCAACTGGTTTGCTTAATCGTTGATTTATTTGGGGGGGGTTCTGAAGCGGCTGATTGGGTTGTCTTTAAATTTGTTAAAGGCGCTATCGGGACCTTAGCAAATGGAACAGAGGTCTGGACGAACAAAATGTACAACTGCTACGAAAATATGTAGTCAGGGTCAACATAGGGGCCTTAATAATTACCTGTACTATTTTGCGGGCTCCTTATAATTGTAGTATAATATAACCGAAAAACCCCCTAAACCCTAAACCCTAAACCCTATTCTAATTATCATGGCCCCTACATTACTACTTGTTCAGACCTTTGTACTACTTTCCGGCTCTCAAGGCGGTTCAAGGTTTAGTTCTGAATGTACGGTTTAGGGTTTAGGGTTTAGGGCTTAGGGCTTTGGGTTTAGGGTTTAGGGTTTAGGGTCTAGGCTTGCAGCTGTAGTTTGGGGAGTAGATCAGGTGTGCTGCAACTTTCCGCATTGCAGTTTTGCCACCCCGCATTTTTCGTAAAAGCTTCAGCTCTCCGCACTAAGCCCTAAACCCTAAACCCTAAACCCTAAACCCTAAACCCTAAACCCTAACCCTAAACCCCAAACCCCAAACCCCAAACCCTAACCCTAACCCTCAGCCCTCAAACCCTAGACCCCCCTAATGAAAGCTCTATTCATTCTAACCCTGGAGCCAGGCCTCTTCCGGAGCATCTGGGCCTGCAGCTTGGATCTGAATCATCGAAGTTTAGGATTTAGGCTTGGTGTTCTTCTGATTCGCTCTTAGGACTTTAACTTTTTGGATTTCTATGTCAAGTTTAACTTTTAGGAGCGGTTCAGAAGTCAGCCAAGTTTAAGGGTTCAGTAAGGGTTTAGGGTTACTGGTTTGGGGTTCAGGGCTTCGGGTTTAGGGTGTACGGCTTCGGGGTTTATGGATCAAAGTTTAGGGGTTAAGGATCAAGGCTTAGGGTTAAGGTCTAGCGATGGCAAATCGGGGGCTTTGGGTTAAGGATTTATTGAAAGGGTTTTGGGCTAGCCACAAAAGGAACATTTTAGAAGTAATGCCACTGTCGCTTTTGTTGGAATTGGGGTTTGGCATTTGGGGGGTTCCTGCCCTGTGGCTTGGGGTAGTAGAGTTATTTGGTTCTTTGTTTTCTTCTGAGAGTTGTAACCCTAATTGCGTCATCTCTGCACTCTGACTCTAGCCCAGAAAAACCTAAGCCCCAAAACCCTAAACCCTGAACCCCTAAACCCTGAACCGCTAAATCCTAAACCCTAAGCCTACACCCAACTCTCTAAACCCGGAAACATAGGTTGTTTTGGAGCTTTCCAGCATGTATACAGCACACGCAGAGGCTTGGATCTGCATCTATGGCATCTATGGGAGCTGTTATCAGGTAGAAGCCTGAATCAGTCGCTATCAGTAATGATAACATTGTTTTAGGGTGCCCTAACATGATTCCGGTACCCCAAAACTGTCAACCCTGCAACCCTAAACCATCCTGCGCCCAACTCCCCAAGCCCCCAGGCCTGCAATTTACAACTTTAAAACCAACAGACCCCTGATCTCTCAGAATCCCAAAGCCTAAAAGCCCAAACCCCGAAAGCACAGGTGACCCTGATCATGACCCTTATAGCAACCCTCATAAAACCTCTCAAAGAAACCCTAAACCCTAAAACCAGGAAGCCTGTCACCCTGAAGCGCGTTTGGGAGCTGCAAGAGCTGGGCCTCGCAGCATGGCAGGGAAAAGCATAGGATTTCGGGTTCAGGCTTTAGGGTTTTAGGCTTTAGGGTTTAGGATGTAGGGTTCAGGGTTTAGGGTTTTAGGGTTTAGGGTTTAGGGCTTTAGGGTTTTATGGTTTAGGGTTTAGTGTTCTGCAGTTGTTTTTGTTAGGGTTCTGGGTTAGTTTGTTGTCTTGGGTATGCTTTTGAAGTTTCAATAAAAGGGTGCTTGTGGTTGTTTGGGTTTTGAGTGTGTAGGTGAGGGTTTAGGATTTTAGAGCCTAGCTCTTAAACCCTAAACTGCAGGTGCTTCAGGATTTCGGGTCTGGCTTAGCAGGCTTTGGGGTTAGTGCTAGCTAGCAAGCATGGGTTTCGGATAGATACGGCGTGACTTGTTGCCGGGAAGGCTTAGGGGTGAAATCATGACATGTTTTTTTTGGGGGGTGATATCCATGTCCAGCGCTTTGATGCTTCGAGGTTTGAAGCCGTAAGCCCCTAAGCCCTACATGGGAGTAGTGTTTCGTCCCCAGTTTGCAAGTGACTACCCAGACCTTGGATGATGCCTTCGGGTTTAAGGGCTTAGGGGTTCGCAAGCTACGAGAGTACTTACACTTAGAGCTGGAGGCCCTAAGCCCGAAAACACGTCTAGACCCTGTAGTCTCGCTGTAAACCCCTTCACAGAACCCAAACCCGGGTTTCGGAGCTCACGTCCTAGCAAGGGGAGGCGCAGATCTGGCGGAGGGTCAGACGAAGATACCCAGAGACCGGAAAAAACCCTCAACGGTTACTAGCTCAAGGCAACTCTGGGGATTGTCGATGCAAGTGGTTCAAGGACGTCCTGCACCGGAAGTTTCACCGGTTCATTACCTTTGGACACACACTCACGACTCCTTAGGTCTCGGCTTC